GCAACTAATTTTATTTTAATTACAACAGAGACTCAGTCATTTCTAATAGTCACTTATATAGTAAGACTTTTAAATGGGGCGGTCTGCAGCCAATTCTCTGCCAGTAAAAGCTTGTGGTTTGAAGGAGAGCTCAGACTTCGAGGAATGAAATCTGACCTTTTTGAAATGGTAATGTTTAATAGTCTGTTGTAGTGCCTTTAGCATACATATATTACATACATAATTCACCACTAACTAAAGGCACTACACTGTATTGTTTATGTGGAGGAAATTAATATTGGAAGGTAATTTTATTGTTTTTCTTTAATAAGATGAGATAAAAAACAAAAAAAAAAAAAGTAATGATTGATTATATGTGTAGGAATTTTTTTTTTTATGCTTTTGTCATATTACCAAGCCCTAGTTAGCAGATTTTAAAGCTGTACATTGTAACTTCTAAAGTGGAGACTCTGCTACTTGCTTGTCTCTATGGAGATTTAATTTTTTTGGTTTGGCATTAAACATGTCTGCCTTGTATTTGTTCACTTATAGGTGTTTTATAGCTCAAAAATACCTTAGAAAAACATTAATTCTTACCATGTGCGGGCTTGCTTCTCCATAGATCTTAACATTAACCTGTCTCTATTGTGATTACCAAGTTTATTTCCATGCTGTGGAATACTTAAGGCAATAATGTAATATCTCCATGGAGACAAGCAGGTGGCGGACCCTCCACTAGAAAAGTTACACAGAGCACCTTTTAATGAGACCCCACGGAGACACAAGGACATGTAGTTCTCTCTAGAGGGCTTATATTACCTAAATAAATAAAGAGATGTCTCATGTCTGTTTGCTAATTGCGACCATATTGTGATTTCACCTCAGTTAGTGTAAATCTCTGCTCATAACGTTTCATTGTTTTGGCTGACTTTTCACTTTATTTGGCGCAGCTGCTGCACTGATGAGGCTAAGAGGACACTGGCTCCGTGACAGAGCTTTGTGCGTTAGTGATTTTTAATTTGCACAGTAATGAGGCTGCACCGGTGGGTCTGTTCATATCTGGAAACACATGGACAGCATATGTACTTCATTAGCCTGTTGCATTGTAGTTTTGAACACTGGATTGTTGCAGGGACTGGGCTATTTTTGGAGATTGGCCGATGTGGGGTTTTTTCATGACTGATGCCGATTGTTAGGAATCCAGAGCTAGGCCTGTCATGATAAATACTACATCAGCTTATTGTTCAGTATATGAAAACTGGAACAATAATTTTTAGGACTGTGTACATTTTCTTTGCAGTATACTGGGACATTTTTTGGTTCTTTTTTGGCTATATGATAACACTTAATGGTGCACTGTGTGCCTTCGTCACCATGGAGATGTTGTCGCTTTGCCTGGAATTTAAGGCCCCGTCGGCACTAGTACGTATTTGAGTCATGTTCGTTGCGGTTGCAGTGTTCGTCCACACTAATATGATGGAAAATTGCTTCAGAGATGGAACGATCTAGTGCTGCCAGTTCCCATGAATTCATTTGAGTACAGATCTGATCCGGCACTCTGTGGACACCTGAAAACGCTGACGTAGGTCTGTGCGCCACAAAGTAATTCACTGTTAAAATGCTAAGAAGCTAGAATATATGTCCATTCATATATTCGGTCTATGTGTACGACCTGCAGACGTATAATCTCTGAAATGTTTAATATGAGCAATTTCCAATGCAATAGAAGCACAGAACAGACTCACCATCAGCAGAACACCCCTTCTGTCACAGAAAAAGCACTCATATTCCACTGAGTCATGTCCTTTAGTCTGGTAGAAGATGAACCACATCAGCGCACAATAGCAAGCTGTTTTGAGCGCTTAGTTTATGCAAATTAGCCATGCGGTTTTAAGTTTTGTTTCTATAAAATGTAAACAAATATGCTCAAAGCTGTGTGGATAGGGAAGGAGTGCGGACACCAAAACGACGTGTCTGGACGCAAATCGTTTCTGATATGGTGATACGCGGATTTGTTTCAGTGTAAACATAGTCTAAGTTTCTGAAAGATTATTCAAGTAGTTTTCATGTGTAAATGCTCTTTCTACTAATCCCGTGGTTGCCAACCTTTTTTGTCTGGAGTATCTACAGAAGAATTATTAAGGATGTATTAAGGGTGTAAAATGTACAACAAAGACTATTTTTACATTCAAATACCATTCAGTGCAGTCTTTCTTTTAAATCTGAACTCAAACCAAGTATATGTTCTCGTATACCTGGTTGAGAAACTCTGGCCTAATCCGCAAAACCTTTCTATCTGTCAAAAGGTAAACGGCAATACCATTTTCTCTAACTCCGTGTCCTCTCTTTTCTCAGATGTCCCCCCGGCGGAGCAGGAGAAACTGTTCATCCAGAAGCTGCGCCAGTGCTGTGTGCTGTTCGACTTCGTGTCCGACCCTCTGAGTGATTTAAAATGGAAGGAGGTGAAACGGGCGGCGCTCAGCGAGATGGTGGAGTACATCACCCACAACAGGAACGTCATCACAGAGCCCATCTACCCAGAGGTGGTGCACATGGTTAGTACCAGGGCAGGGGATTTTAAAGTGACTTTTTAAAGTGACTCCGCCCACAGCCACTTTTCAAATAGAGCTGCTAAACTGGGCAGCACCTGGAGGACTGAAGGGGATGCTGGAATTTACAGATTTAGATTTCGGCCTTTTTGTCCAGAAATTAACCACCAAAACAGCCAAAACTGCCTAGAAACAGTAGATAATGCTATTAAAACTCTATACACACAGGTTAATAGCATTAGTAGTGGATTTAGTGTTTATTTCTGCTTTAAAGGGGTTTTACCGTGACTCCCTTAGCCTGGGACATAGATGATCAGTCAAAAGTTTGGACTCTCCCTCTCATTCAGTGTTTTTTCTTAATTACCTGTACCTGAAATACATAGAGCAAGATATATGGAATTATTTTGTAAAGAAAAAAGTTAAATAACTATGGAAAAGGGTGGCTAATTTGAGGAGTTATTTAACCTTTTTTAACCATTTATCTAACTTTATATATTCCATGTCATCTGTAATGTATATTAAATATATAAAGTATTAACCAGAAAAAGGAATGAGAGGGTTTGTCCACAATGAAGCGTGAACTCCCAGAAGAAATGGATGGCTTTTTTTTTTTGTAACAAGGCAACATTTTTTTAAGATAACTCATGGTCTTAGTGCATTATCTGTGTAATTATTAATTCTAATCTTAGAAATACTGTATGTCACGTTGAGGCCTGGCTCCTGTGCTCAGCTCTGTTTCCTGTTCGTTCCTTTTGGGAGGATATTTGGCTCCGGTCTCGTCTCTGGAAACTCATGAAATATCCCTGGCCTGGTTTTGACCCGAACGTGTGTGGGTCTTATGTAAACTAATGCATGTTTCTCAAACTGTGGTACGTGGGCTTTTTCATGTTGGACTGATAATAATAATCGTTTTGATCAACAATTTATATATTTTATGTACATCAGTCAAGCAAGTAAAAGGCATTTTATCATACTTGGAGGACTCCCTTGCGTTTGCAGTCTTAACTTGGATTTTTGTTCCTGGATTTCAAGGAGAGCTGAATAGAATTAGCATTATCAATAATTTTAATTGAAAAGCAGATTTTGGATATTAAAGCTAGTATCAAATCCAGATACTCGCAAGCAGGTATCATTAATAAAAAATGTCACATTAAAAAGACAGAAGTGAACCTTTCCTTTTAGAATGATGTTGAGCTGTATCAGCACAAGTACCATAAGACCACAAAAATTAGTATACGCCCATGGACCACACAGATATAAGACCACATGGCAATTTAAAAGAAAGGACCATGAAATAATGATGAAAATCCCACTCTGTTGTCTAAAGAAAGAGTTTTTTATTATTTAATTTTATTATTGTGGTTTTGGAATCTGTATTGAGTATGGAGTCCAGTCCTTAGTATTTATGGAGTTTGAAATTCTAGTATGATGACATTCTGTACTTTTCTTATTTCACTTTTGAGTTTTAGTTTCTCCATTCGTAATTTTTGGAGATTTTTACACACTTCTGTCAGACTGCCCAAAGTGGATTCTGAACTCAAAACAAGAGATATATTTTGTTCAATATTGCCCGCCCCTAACTTCAGCTTTGGTTATAATTATTGTTTTGTTTTCCTCTTAATTTAAATTTTTTTTTGTACTTTTCATTTTAATTGTGGTGCGTACAGTCTTTTCATCACATTATAAATCTGCTTTCTGAGAAATTTAAGCCGTTAACTTTCAAAACAACTGGGGCTTTTTGATGTTTTAACGAAACCAGTGTCACAAAAGCATTCGGTAAACAGCAGCTGATCAAGGTGCAAATTTAGCCACATCCTGTTTCATCCTGCGCGCTTTGTTTTGATCAGAGCTGCAGAAAATTCAACAACAGAGAGACAAAATCAGCATGAAAATACAGACTCTCCCCTCTGCTGTCCTCTGCTCTCCTCCGCTCTGGCCCCATTCAAGTCAAGAGCGGTTTGAAGAGAGCGCAGGCCTTTTATCATCAAAGTATTCACAATAATGTGGTACCAAAGCTGGACAGAGCCATATCCTCATGTTAAAGGATCTGGGCATGAGTTTTCCAACGTGTATGAGATATATTGTATAAGCAGCTCTAGGGGTCAAAACAGGTCCGCTGTGTACTGTCAGAGCGTTTTATTGATGCTTTGCTGCTGATGTCATCAACGTTCCTTGGGGGGGTTTACGCTAACTAGAGGCACTGAAGCTCTGGTGCTCAACCTAGACATAGAATCTGAGCTTTGTTTTAACACAATCTGGTCATAAAGAATTTAATTATTTGCAATTACAGGTGAGCTGATTTGTGCTGTTAAACAAGTCGGTCTCAAATTGTATTAGTCACAAATTACCTACCATTAGTCAACAGTTTTTCAGTTAGTCACTCTCATTTTTTTGTCCAAAATTCAAACGCCTAAACAGGACCATAAACGCTCGTACTGATCACAAGCTCATGATAATATGTTGTTTAAATCCATTTAGTATTTTTTGAGTTTTCAGACTTTAAACTAATTTGACCGTGTTTGAGAAAGTATGCATTTTGTCAGCATAGTAAGAGCTCAGCATTCCTCCACAGACAAACATGCAGAACCCCTCCAGCTTAATGTCACTGCAAATTGTCCGGAAGTGTGACGTTGGCATGCTGGATTTGTACAAGTAATGATATGATGATTTTTTTTAATGCATTTTTGTTTTTGTTTTGACAGTTTGCGGTGAACATGTTCAGGGCGTTGCCTCCATCGTCCAACCCGACAGGAGCAGAGTTTGACCCAGAGGAGGACGAGCCCACGCTGGAGGCTGCATGGCCACATCTACAGGTACTGAACACGAGTCTGATCCTTAGACTTTAAATTGACTTAGCTAAAGCGCTCGCTGCGTTCTAAATAGGAAGTGAAGATGGGCGCCTCCTTCTAGGTCTGGTTTCAATTGACTTTTATTGAAAAACGGTGGCCCGTTTCGGTAAACACTGCTGTCTCATTCTGACCTATAAAAAAAAAAACACTCTCCATGATCCTGGTGTTTTTATTTCAATATTTTGTCTGTAAATCATGACATGAACCCTAATAACAGACCAATCAGGTGCTTTCTTTTCCTCCTAATTGGCTCTTTGATTGTGTGCCTGCCTTTCCAGACATAGCTCCTGGTTGATTCTATATCTTCTGTATGTAGCTGCTGTATCTTCTAGCCTTAATTCATGTCACTCTGATTCCACTTTCATTATACAGTCTATGGTATGAGCCAGGGCTAGAGCAGGGCTACAACCAGGACTTCAGTTTCAGGAATTTCTAGGAGTCAGTATGTTGTTTGTGGGACCTTTTGTAACATGTTTTCATCTTCTGCTTTGTTCCACAGCTCGTTTATGAATTCTTTCTGCGGTTCTTGGAGTCCCCAGACTTTCAACCAAACATAGCCAAAAAGTATATTGACCAGAAGTTTGTAATGCAGGTACGTACAGTGGTATTCATTTATCTGAAATAAAACTATTTAGGACAATTAGGAAAAGCACATTTTGTCCTACCTTAAGCTTTTATTTTTTCAGTGTTTACCTGTTCTAATGAGTATCTAGATTTGATTCTGCTTATAGTATCTGGGTGTTGATTTTTTGACAGTCCTGTTTACACAAATTACCACTGCTATGATGTCCCAAATACTCTAAAATAGTAAAATACCGAATGATATGTTTTAATGGCCCATAAGCTGCATAGGTTATAAAACAGTTCCCCACATCCCCGTATATTTTAGTGGGCTACTTTTCTTCATTACTGTAAGGGCTTGAATCTCGAGTCAGTTGAGCTCATTGTATCATTTTCAAACATATTCACTTCAGTCTCAGCAGAATGTGGCCCTTACTTGTAAATGTAAAAATGGGCAAGGTACAAACCCGAGGCAGACAGACTGAAAATATTAAACGTCCTTTAATACATGGAGGGAGGCCAACACAATGATACCTAGAGGAAGGCCATCTTGCTGGTCGAAACACGTCGGCATCCTTCCCCATGTAATAAACGACTTTTAATATTTTTAGACCCAGGTTTGCACCTTGCCCATTTTTACATTTTCAAGTAAGTGCTACATTCTGCTCTGATTTCAACTCAACCCTTGCAGACCACCTGTATTGTGATTTTAAAGATTTTTTATGACCCAGTGAAGCGCTCTACACTTTCTCTTCATCTCATATTCAATTCAATTTCTGTCTTGTTTTTTCCTACAGCTTTTAGAATTGTTTGACAGTGAAGACCCACGAGAAAGGGACTTTTTAAAAACCACTCTGCATCGAATCTACGGCAAGTTCCTGGGTCTGAGGGCGTACATTAGGAAACAGATAAATAACATATTTTATAGGTGAGTCATGATGTCTTCTGTTTGGTATTGTGATCATTTGAATAAGTGAGAGAAAATATTGTCATTACTAATACTATGGTTGTGTGTGTTGTTTTTAGGTTTATTTATGAAACAGAGCATCATAATGGGATAGCAGAATTACTGGAAATTTTAGGAAGGTAAGTTTAACTGCCAAAATGTATCACCTGTTAATATTTATATCGCCGTCTATTGTTTCTGATGGCATAAAGATGAATTGCAATTGTGTAATATATAGTCCTCTATGGTAAATTGAAGAAGGGGTATGGTATTATGAAATGTTGACACTTTGGAGCTTTCTACTTGGATGCCTGAAAAGGTTTTAGATGTTATCCATGCATATTTGAGTAATCTAGTGATCTCTCCCGGGCCATGTTCGAGCCCTCTTTACACAGGGTAGCGGCGGGGTCTTAAAAATCTTTAAAAGGTCTTAAATTTCATGTTCCCAAATTAAGGTCTTAAAAAGTCTTAAATTTTGTTGTCGAAGGTCTTAAATTTCTTTTTTTTAAATTTAAATGGAGGGGAAAAAAAACAACAATGTGAAATCATGTAATGTGAATCTAATTTGGAGTATGTGCAAACAATACTTTGGTTTCTGGTGCTGACGGCAATGAGTAAACAATCAGTACAGTGGAGGAAGACTCTGGATGGATCATGGGGAAGTGTCAGTGTAATCCACAGTGGCTCTTAGATTCTAGATGAAGTCGTTGGCCATTATTTGAATTGGATCTGTGTGTTTTTCTCCCGCATAATGGGTGCGATGTTGGTCTTAATTTTCATTTAAGTGGTCTTAAAAAGGTTGTAAAAAAAGTCTTAAATTTGAGGTAGTCAAACCTGGAGATACCCTTTTACAGTACGATTCTCTCTGTTGCTTAGCTGAGTTTAGTCCCTGTTTTCCTTGTATGAGGAACATTAGTATGGGAGCTTTATCAGGTGCGCTAAAGTCGTGCATGTGTGCTTACGTGAGCATCTGTCCCGTGCTTTGACCCACCTCCTCTCAACCTGGCCAAAGTCTGGCACAGTTCATTTGCACTCACACTGGACAAACGTGCTGTGCTTTAGGGGCTATCTGTGCTTGGGCACGGTTCAGTTGGGTAGTGTGGGTGTACTGTCAATTTGGTGGTCCTCTGTATAAAACCTGCTAACCTGGTATTCTATTCGGTTTATTAAGAACACAGAGTTCGTAATATTGCATGGGATCTTTGTATCTAGCCGTGCATATTTCAGTGCCCTAGAAAAGTTGAAAAAAGCAATGCAACAAATCAATTAGATATATTAGATAACAGTAGCACACTCATGTTTTTCTCCATGGTTGTTTTGACCTGGACTGTAATAAGCTCCTCTTGTGTTGCAGCATTATAAACGGGTTTGCGTTGCCATTAAAAGAAGAGCACAAAATATTCCTTCTGAAAGTCCTTCTCCCGTTACATAAAGTCAAGTCTCTCAGTGTCTATCACCCACAGGTAAGAGCCCAGCTACCATGAGTTTAATTATGTTTGAAAAGCCAATGCTATCGCAAAGCTATTGAAAGCCAAATCCTCTCTCAGATGGCAGTGGAATAATGAGAGTAAAATTAAAAACTAGATGATAATAAACTCAAGATTTATATTTATTAAGGTTATGGTCACAATTACATTTGGTAAAAGTAACATAAACCGAAATGTTTTAAAGCCACAGTATGTAACTTTCTAGCAAAGAATACCATAGAAAAACATGTGTCCTTACTGCAAGCGGGTTTTCCACAAACCTGACTCTTATTTGGCCTGCAGCAGGGCCTTCTCCTGTGCCAGCTCCAGAAGGTTACACCCTGTACCTTTTAATGATAAGATTGGCTATTATTTCAGTAACAGAATAAAAATGTAAGATTGACCAAATGATTACAAAAGTAATCACACAAAGCACAGATTAAAACAGCTAGAATTTAGTTTAAGAAAAGAGTAATACAGCAAGATAAGTAGACAAAGTAGACTCCAAATCCACAGGTGTCTCATGTGATGTCTGTGTCTCCTTGTAGCTGGCATATTGTGTGGTACAGTTCTTAGAGAAGGACAGCACGCTCACTGAACCAGTAAGACCCACTCTCATATCATTAGCACATGTTTAGCACCATCATACTTGTTGGTATTTCCTCATTTCCCCCCTGTTCTCATTGTGCAGGTGGTGATGGCGTTGTTAAAATACTGGCCAAAGACGCACAGCCCTAAAGAGGTGATGTTTCTGAACGAGCTCGAGGAGATTCTGGACGTAATCGAACCCTCTGAGTTTGTCAAGGTCCAGGAGCCACTCTTCAGACAGCTCGCCAAGTGTGTCTCCAGCCCACACTTCCAGGTAACAAAGAGGCAATGCTGGAATGTTCCCCTTGGTTACCATGGTGACACAATGCTCACATTCACAAACAATGCCAAAAAAAAAGTTTAGAGAAAGGTATTGTTTTGAGGAGCCTGTGATCATTGGAAGCATTCACGTCCTATTTAGGGGTTTCATTTTCAACAAAAACGGTGAGAGTGACTGAAAAACTGTTTCCAAATGCTAGCTAGCTCGTGACTGTAATGTTATTTTGTTTCTGGTCAAATTATGTTCAAAACAAAGCCTCAGACAGAGCAGTGCTTACAGTCAGCATCACAGCCCCATGGAATGCTGATGACACCAGCTGCAGTTGTAGTGGTATTTTGTGTAGTTAGTTTAATGCACAAAAATATTACCAAATATAATACCAAAACAAATCTAGTGATGGTAGATGGTCAATGTGTAACATGTTTCCTATAGCGCCATCTAGTGGTTTGGCTTGTTTGTGATGGATGTGCTCTCATATCAAACAAATGAAAGAACTGACCAAGGAGGTGTAGAATCGTATATAATTAAAACAAATAATCTCCTTTTGTACAATAAAATATTATATTATTATATATATATTCATAGTGACTGATTTTACCTTGTGCGCCGAGCTCTACACAAGCTGCTTCTGCACTCCTGACAGAATTAGGTCATGTTTATGGAATTTCAAATATAAATCTTACATACAGTGCCTTTTTAAAGTGTGCAGGACATGTTTTGATAGTTTTGAAGTTCTCTAATTTTGACTTAATTTGGTGGGATTTTAACTTATCATAAATATAACTGAGTCTTACACCATCTATACATGTCCATGTTTAACCTGAACCTGTCCCTGTGTGTTTCCAGGTGGCAGAGAGGGCCCTTTACTACTGGAATAACGAGTACATCATGAGTCTGATCAGTGACAACGCAGCCAAGATTTTACCCATCATGTTCCCCGCGCTCTACCGCAACTCCAAAACACACTGGAACAAGTGAGAGGCCAACATTTATTTAATACAACTCCACTGAGAGTGACCGTGTGTTCATCCAACAGATAATAACTCAAATGGCACTAATGCGATGTGTTGTTTTCAGGACGATCCACGGTCTCATCTACAACGCTCTTAAACTCTTCATGGAGATGAACCAGAAGTTGTTTGACGACTGCACACAACAGTTTAAAGCTGAGAAAAGCAAGTAAGTCTCAACTGTGATCAGTGCAAAGATCATTATTTTACATTTTGTAAATTTTTACTTTTTTTTTTTTTTTCAATTTAACTAAAATGATTTGATAATAGAAACTGAAAAAGAGCAGGGCAATATTTTTGAACATTTTTGTGAAACTATGGGGTAAAGGGAAGAAGGGGACGTTTTCTGGGCATACTCAAACATGCATGAATCTCTCAAAATACAACTCTTATCATAACATGGTTTTAAAGCTCATAAAGGTTTATTTTGCACAATTTGTATTAAGTATTTCTTTAAATCTGTTGGCGTAGTTCCTACCTTTTTTAAGTAGCATAATTTCCTTCACAAAAAACAAAATCTCCTCTTACTCTACATAAAAACTTCTAACCCTGTAGTTTAGATTTATACAAACATGTTCTGAAATGTGATCCTTTTATTAGTTTGTCAGTTAATGGTTTAGTCTTTTTGTCAATTCATCAAATTATTCAAATCTCAAATGTAATTGCAATGCTTTTCAGAAAAATCACAAGCATTCAGCCCTATCTTATATGCTCTTGAGGGACAAAATAAATGTACTCATTTAGAAGAAAAAAGTCTAGTACCTCAGCTTGAAATGTTACCTTTTGTGTTTCCTTTGTGTTTTAGAGAGAAAGCCAAATGGAAAGAGAGGGAAGAGGCGTGGCTCAAGATAGAAAATTTAGCAAAGTCAAATCCACAGGTAATTTTTCTGTTGCTGTTAAGTGCCAATATTACAAAAACACAATCAGTAAAGTCGTATTTAATTTGAAAAGCAAACAAATGGTTGAATGAATCTTCCCTTGTGCAGTTCTTGACGTATATTGACTCCGGATCAGGAAGTCCGATGGATATGGAAACAGACGGTCCAGTTTTAGATGACGTCAATATGTTAAAGAAAACAGTAGAGGAAGAAGCCACACAGGTGAGACTCAACTGTGGAATGTGTCACCTTTTAAGAAACATCTGAGGGAATATGTGGTACTGATTTAAAGTTTGTAAAGTCAGGTGGTTTAGTTTGGGTGGAAGGATGCTGAGGTTAGTGCTGCCAGGAAACAGAAGGCCTACAGGAAGAACAAGGAGGAGAATTATGGATGTAGTGAAAGAAGGGTCAGATGGAGCAGAGGATGAAGAGGAGACGGTCAGATGGAGCAGAGGGTGCCAAGTTTAGGGTCAGATGAAGCAGAGGATGAAGAGGAGAAGAGGGTCAAAATCAGTCCTGATTTTTCTATTTCTGCTTCTTCAGCTTTCTAAAGACCACCGAAAGGAGCGGCCATTGATGAGGAGGAAATCTGAACTTCCCAAAGACATCTCCACGGTTACGGCGATAGAACTTCACAGGCGAGCGGAGGAGATGATAACACACGACGGACACTAGACTCATGACCTACATAGATCTTATAAACAAAAACTAGAAGACCACAAAACCAACCAGCAGCAACTATCGGCCCCAGAGACCTCCAGCACAAAACACTGTCCCTTAAAGCGACATAGAACTCTAGAGTGGACATTCCCCAGGTCATCTACAGCGCGGCGGCCATGTTGTGTCTGTAGGCTGTACCCAAGCACACGTGTAAACGGATAATAGAGCTGCACTTAGTTATGAAATATTCTTTTAATAAATCTTGTTCATTTGTCTTTTATTTGTGCTTTAATCTAATGTCATGTCTCACCCATACTAAAGGACTCTTAAGCTATAGTTATGCTAAAAATGGCCTGCAGTACTATGAATTGGTATAAAATAAACTTTTATTTACGGATGTTTTGGTTTCTATAAACTGACACAAAATTCTAACCACTGCTGTGTATTTCAGTTTAAAGGGACTATATTATGCTTTTCTTATGTCTGTTATGATGTTTCCTCATCCCAAACATATCCAGAGTTGTGTTTTGTTTCATTCACACTTTTAACACACAAACCCTGCATATTTAGGTTATTTTCTGAATCGGAAAACATTGTTCTAATTTGTGATGTCGTGGTAATACAGGAAGTGCTCCTCTGTGTTTTTAAACTTTATGCACCTTCACTAGAATGTTTTTGATTTTTATTTCAGATTTGGAATTTCCAATCTGTACTGTACAAAAAACTATCACTTCATGACATCACAAGATGGAACAGAGGGTTTTGAGCTTTGAAAATGCAGGCAGATGATTACGCAAACGTGCGAATGAAACAAAATACAACTCCAGGTATATTTTTGATGAGACGACAACATTCTAACATGGCTAAAAGCTCACAAGATTCAATTTTGCATAATATAGGACCATTAAATACCTGATAGCATTTGATTGGCTTGCTATAGCCTTATTTGAGGGGTTGGGGGATGTTTTTGTCACTAGTATTCTTGTTCTGAGAGAGGGATTTTCTTTCTTAACAAAAATTGCTTACTTCACAACGTTTGCAATTTTTCTCTGGTTAAAGTTTGCACCTCACTCAGATGAAGACTGTTGAAACATTCTCTACTTTGAGCCACGCCTGGACGAATGGGGGATTACACTGTCTTGTTCCAGTGTTCTAAATAACAGACTTTACCTCCTGAGTTATTTGGACTTCAAAACTATCATTTCATTTTTTAGATAACTGTTCTAAGAAATGACAGATTATTTTACTGTCTCAAGATGGCAGCCAGACTTGCCATGGCAGAGATCGCTGCTGTAAATCCACTCTAGTGTTTTCACTGGATTAATGAAGTGTTCTGTTTAAGTACTGGCAGCGGACAAACTCCAGAGCAATGGGCATACATCATTTCACCACGTAACTCCAGGGGTTCTCTGCTGACCCCTTGTGGTCATCTCAGGTGTTCTGTTTTAAATGTCTTTTCATTCTATAGATGTCAGTGGCCTGTTCAAAGTCTATGAGCTCCAAGTAAACTTACAACTCATAAAACACTGACAGATTCATTTAGTGATCAAGTTTAGTTTCAACATTTGTAATTTTTTAAAGATAAGTCCTGAAAATATTATGTTATTGGTGGAGAATTACTTAAAGATTGAGACAAAGGTATCAACTAATGTTTTAGTCTAATTAAAACAAGTAAAATACAGATTGTTTTGGTCATTTTTGAACCATTTAAATCCAGTGACTGAATAATTATAAAGTTTAAGGGGTGATATTTTGAATGCGATTAAGTTCTGCTGAATAAAGCCTAGTACACTGCTGACATCTAGTGGCAAAACGTGGTAATAACTGCTTCTAATAAAAGTTTATGACTATTCATATTATTTTATTTGTTTGCGTATTTTACTGTGGACAACAACAAAGGAAGATGAATACTGCAGACAAGTGTGAGGAGAGGAAGAAGGAGAAGGGGAGAGACAGAGGAGAAAGATGTGCAGAATAAGGAAGAGAGGGAAGGAGGGGCAAAGGGACAGAGAGAGAGAAGGGTTGGTATTTTGAGAGTGATTGATGGAGAGAAGGAAGAGAGAGAGAGAGAGACTGTTAGAAATGTGGCTTGGAGAAGTGACGGAGAGGAGAGAGAAGGAGAGAGGGGGGAGGAGAGGGAGATGGAGAGAAATGTCACTGCACCGTAAATCGGAAGGTGGGAGGAGTGTCTTGCCCAAGGGTTCACCAGGAATGAATGGAAAATGTCTAGAGCTGGACTTGAACCACCAATCTCCCTGTTAAAAAAAAACTACAAAAAACTACCATCTCTATCAATGGAGATGACATATTAAAGCTGCACTGTGTAACTTTTCTGCTGGAGGGTATGCGCCTGTTTACTTCCAGGTGTTATTGGTTTGCTTGGAATTTTCCGCAGCATGGCATTACCGGGACTGGTTGGGCAAACTCCCATGAACCCTCGAGCACCCTATGGAGAGTGTAGAGCTGGTCCAGTGTTCCACGGCCAGGACGAAAACCACACTGCTCCTCCTGAATCCGAGGTTCGACTATCGGCTACCAGTCCACATGTGTTTTGTGGATCTGGAGAAGGCATTCGACCGTGTCCCTCGTGGTGTCCTGTGGGGGGCGCTCTGGGAGTATGGGGTCCGGGGCCCTTTGCTAAGGGCTGTCCGGTCCCTGTATGACCGGAGCAGGAGCTGTGTTCGCATTGCCGGCAGTAAGTCAGACCTGTTCCCGGTGCATGTTGGACTCCGCCAGGGCTGCCCTTTGTCACCGGTTCTGTTCATTGTGTTTATGGACAGAATTTCTAGGCGCAGTCAGGGGCCGGAGGGGGTCCGGTTTGGGGACCACAGGATTTCATCTCTGCTGTTTGCGGACGATGTTGTCCTGTTGGCTTCATCGAACCAGGACCTGCAATGTGCACTGGGGCGGTTTGCAGCCGAGTGTGAAGCGGCTGGGATGAAGATCAGCTCTTCCAAGTCCGAGGCCATGGTTCTCGACTGGAAAAAGGTGGCTTGCCCTCTCCGGGTGGGTGGGGAGTCTTTGCCTCAAGTGGAGGAGTTCAAGTATCTCGGGGTCTTGTTCACGAGTGAGGGAAGGACGGAACGTGAGATTGACAGGCGGATCGGTGCAGCTTTGGCAGTGATGCGGTCGCTGTATCGGACCGTTGTGGTGAAGAGGAGCTGAGTCGAAAGGCGAAGCTCTCGATTTACCGGTCAGTCTTCGTTCCTACTCTCACCTATGGTCATGAGCTCTGGGTAGTGACCGAAAGGACGAGATCGCGGATACAAGCGCTCGAAATGAGTTTCCTCCGCAGGGTGGCTGGGCGCACCCTTAGAGATAGGGTGAGGAGCTCAGTCACACGGGAGGAGCTCGGAGTAGAGCCGCTGCTCCTCCACGTTGAGAGGAGCCAGTTGAGGCTCGGGCATCTGTTCCGGATGCCTCCTGGACGCCTCCCTCGGGAGGTGTTCCGGGCATGTCCCGCCGGGAGGAGACCCCGGGGAAGACCCAGGACACGCTGGAGGGACTATGTCTCTGGGCTGGCCTGGGAACACCTCGGGGTTCCCCCGGAGGAGCTGGAGGACGTGTCTGGGGTGAAGGAAGTCTGGGAGTCCCTGCTTAGGCTGCTCCCCCCGCGACCCGGCCCCGGATAAGCGGACGAAAATGGATGGATGGATGGATGGCATTACCGGGTTCCTCCATCATGCCAAGTTACAGGTCAGATCTACAGGAAGGCAAACCCACTCACAGTAAGAATGCATTGTTTTTCAAGGCATGTTTGTATTTAATGCCCCATGGTGAAACAAAGCAATTACATCTCCATGGTCAGAATTCTCACCTGAAAAGTTACACAGTCCACCTTTAATTAAACTAGGTAAAAGTGAAATTAAGGTTAAGAATTCAGAATTAAAATCTTCTTATTTGTGCAGATGATAGTGTTGTCACAGTCCTAAAATAATAAGGAGCAGACCAGATACTCAATAACAATTCTGATACCACTGAGAATTAATAACACAGCCTGTGATTTCCAACATTAAATCACAGTACTTTCTTGTATATTACAATGTGGATTTATATCTGTGTAATCCCTCAGTGGTCCAGGTAGGTTCACCAGTGGTCCATGGGCGTATACTAATCTGTGTGCTCTGATATTGTGTTTCCCAAGCTTTTTCTCTGGGGAACCATATTTTAAAAGTCACAAACCTTCGCAACTACGTCAATAGACATTATTCATAAATCACAAAATAAAAGTCGATTTGACCATTATTGAACATTAATGGGGATATTTTATTGTTGACTGAGTGATCGTGTCAACAATTAGTATTACTCAAGTTTTAAACAGTGAAAAACAGTAACTGAACCAGCAGTAAAAGGATCTACAAGTCACTTATTTGGACTTTAAACGTAGCGCATTTCTTTTTCTTTTCAACATTCAAGTGAACCAGCAATATTGGAACAAAATAGTCAATAATGTATGTATAATGTGTATAATGTATAATATGTCAGCGTTTTTGCAGCATGTTCCAGTCCAGGGTGCAGGAGGAGAGCGCAGCAGCAGATCAGGCGCAGCATTCAGTCTGTTTCTGTGCTTTGTCTTCATTTTTATGAGCACAGAAAATCTCATGTGTCAAAACTGTATACAGTATTGCAGACCTATATGCTATACTGTGAGGAGGCGACCCCCAAACAATCTCTTGAGATCCAGTCTTTGGGAAACAATGCTCAAATACTTGTTCTGATACAGCTCAAGATCATTCTAAAGCTATTCAAGGGTCATTTCTGTCCTGTGAATGGGACTTTTTCAGTATTGATAAATCCTCAAATGAGTATATAGTTTTGATACTGGTTTTAGCATTGATTAGTTAGGCTGGGTATCATTAAGCCGTTGCTGATACGATACATACGTCGATACATATCTCAATACAGTGCACTTTCGATTCCATATGATATATTTCAAATTGATCTGGTTCAGTTGAACGAAACTAATGGCTAAATCAAGGCTGTGACACTAAAAGTCTTTGTTAAACCACTTCTTGTGCAAAGTTCAGACCAAACACGCCCATTTTACTCATCAAAACAGTGAAAATGTCTCTGAACAAGCAACAAAACTGAAGCGCTGTAACAAAATAACTTAGTAAAATATACCCCAAAATACTTTTGTCGGTATATCGATACAGCAGCCCACAATATCGATACTGTATCATCACATTAATCCATATACGATATAACGATATTTCAATATTTTTGCACACCTCTATTGATTAGTATGTGCTTTTCTATACTTTTGACAACCCTATTCAATTCCTTTTTACAGTGCACCATTCGCTCCACTCCCCCTCCCACCTCCCACCTGCTTCAGTCTATGGCCCTCCTGCTGATCCTCGAACTCAGATGAACTCTGCGAGGACCGAAGGCAAC